AGTATATATGTTGTTCATGATAGACAGAACGATAACATAGATAGATAGATAGATAGATAGATAGATAGATAGATAGATAGATAGATAGATAGATAGATAGATAGATAGATAGATAGATAGATAGATAGATAGATAGATAGATAGATAGATAGATAGATAGATAGATAGATAGATAGAAAGTCGACTCTTGTCAGTGTTGTGGAACAGAAGTAGATTCAAGCTCAAGTCTGGACTGCTTTACATTCCTTTTTGTCACTCCTCACTTTCTATCTAACAAAAAGCCAAACACACACACACACACACACACACACACACACACCCCGAATACAACTTCCAGTGATTACAGCCATTAATCTTCAGTGAAAAACAAAGAGCAGAACGAAAAATGTTCGCTCTAAACACATTTATTTATGGTGACGACTATTGTTGAAAACATCACCCACCTCCTAGAGTTATAATTGACCCCACAAATCAGACAGCCAGCCCTTCAGCATTTCTTAAACTCTCCAGTCCAGAAGCCCTCACTCTCCCATCAGCACTGCTGCGCTGCAGAACCAGAGAGAATGATCTTCTCAGGAATATTTGCTCTTGGCAATGTCATGATGCCAGATGCTGTGCTGTTTCAGGATCACAATTGCTTGAGGCAAAGCAAGACCACCAAACTAAAGCACGATCCATATGGACAACAGCAGACTCCAGAAGAGGAGGAGGAGGAGGAGGAAGACAAACTAATAACTAAGGAGACTGCAGTGCTGTAATTGACGTTCTCATAGAAGGAACGCTTGCTTTAGCCTTCAGATAATTTAGTAGCCAGACTAAAATATGTTTCAAAACCCTGGAAGTGGAGATATATATATATATATATCAAGTGTTATTTCAGTATTACTGAGGCACTATTATAGTTTATATTATTTTTTTCCCATATATACTGTATATAAATACACTTTTTAAATATGTCTATATAGTTTTAATTATTTTTTTATTTCAGTTTATTATTAGTAGTAGTAGTAGTAGTAAATAAAGACAAACTAAATGAAAATCGGAAATGTTGCCTGGGCAACTAACTGAAATAAACTAAGCTAAGTTTTTTTATATATATATATATATATATATTATTTTATTTCATTTCAGTTAACATTTATATTATTTCAAGTAACAAAATAGATTTTTATGGTTTTAGTTAAATATAATAACCCTATTTTATTTGATTATTTATTTTATATAAATTTTACATAGAAAGAGAATATTAAATAAAAAATAATTATATATTATTATAAATAAGTATATTATATATATATATATATATATATATATATTTTGTTTTTATAAATCCCTCAAAGTGCAAAGTCATCAACAAAAAAGAAAGAAAAAAAATTATTTATTATAAGTATGGATATCTATCTAAAAAATACATATACAACACATCAAAAAACAATGACTAGCATTGACTATGAATGTGTTGTGGTTTTGAAACAATCAAATAAATAAATGGCAATAACAAAATGAACATGCACTTTCAAGAATAAAGAGAATAAACAGGCAATTGCTTCTTTTCACTGAAGGCCTCTACTATTCCACACTATTACTGGTGGTTAAAAGCTAAATTAAATCAGTAAAAATATTTAATAATCCAAAATGCAAGGGCTCAATGACACCAAACACAACGAGAGCTCACTCAGTGCATCATTTTGTCGAGAGCTATTTTCACTGCTAACACTAAAGAATTTAATTACGCATGGCCCCTTTAACACCTCTTCCTCTGAAACCAGCCATTAACCGCATCGGAAATGCATTCAGTGTTGAAAAAAATCTACTAGCTGAGAAGCCCAGAGTCGGAGGTACACGCTGCAAACTTCTGAAAGCTTCTACTTTCAGAAGTTTGAAATGCATGTTAAATTAGACTTTAAATCAGCTTTAACACCTGGATTCATTAGAGTACAAGCACTTTGCGATGACTTGCGTCGGTCATGCCGGTACTAACAGGTCAGGATATCTGACTACTTCAGTCTGTGCTGGTGTTTTGAAAGTAGTTTGGATTGAATATGTTTATTCTGAACAAGAGCCTCTGGTCTCAGCGAGCAGCTGCAGTCATGAATGACTAAGTGCTCGGCACGGGAACAATGTAATACTGTAGAAAGAGCACTCTCCTTCCTCCTCTCGGCAGTAAACAATGACGAGTATAGCAGCATCTGACATCTACATGCTCTGCTGACAGACAGTCCTCCAACATGCTAAACTGCCTCTGAGCACAGACAGAACATCGAGCACTGGTGTCTGCTTACCCTCACATCATTCTCCATCACTCTGCAAGCGTTTCCAAAATTATTAGGAATATGGCTGGGATCTTTGGCCAGCAATGAACTCTGATAAGGAAATGCTGTTGTCCTGCATAACCTTCAAGATCATTCTTGGTTTATTGTGTAGTTTAGGTCTCTGCCTGGTTTGATTCAACTAAAGTAGCTGTAGTCAGTGGGTTCACCGCAGTGCAGGATGAAGATCGGTTTAATCAGTTTTAGTGGTAGACTGACCCTGGTAAAACACAGAAACCATAGCAACAAGGTCATTTCCCAGAGAGCCACAACAAGTATTGTGTTACCTGAAATTTCAATATTGAAAACACCCTTGGTCTAAATTGATCCTCTCAATCTATTGCATTAGGTCCATTCAATGCACGTATTTTTCTAATCTTCAGAGAAAGCAGTGAACCGACCTTGAGAAAGACTCTGGGCTTGAGCAAACAAATCAAGAAAAACAAACCACAAGCCTCCACATCACAGCTGAAAAGTAAAGGAGAAACCTCACAGAAAAGCACCCCATCTAGAGGCTCCACCAAAATTCGAACCGTTTTTGCTTTGTAGCACTATGTACATAATTTTAAGTATGTAATTAAATAATAAATTCATTTTATTAATTATATTTTAGAAATGTATCAGTATTGTGATATTGAATACAGGAATGCATTAGTTCGTCATCCATTAATTTAAAATGATGTTTATTTATGAATTTGTTGGTTTTGTGTGTCTTTGAATGAACAGGAATTCGGTTCATTAAATGCCAAAGTCTAACCTATAGTTTATTGTCAGCAAACTTGGAACATTTTTGATCGCTATCCTTAAGATGACATCACGATTCAATTGGAATATTTTTTTATTATGTTATGCATTAAACTATAGTTTACTTTATTCAAATCAGTTATAGTATTAAGATATATAGTTAACATCTAACTAAAATAATACACTAATCACCAACTCACAAGCGTTCCCTTTCGATTCGGTCACTCTACATTGCTACGGGAAATACAAACCCAATTCCAAAAAAGTTGGGACACTGTACAAATTGTGAGTAAAAAAGGAATGGAATAATTTACAAATCTCATAAACTTATATTTTATTCACAATAGAATATAGATAACATATCAAATGTTGAAAGTGAGACATTTTGAAATGTCATGCCAAATATTGGCTCATTTTGGATTTCATGAGAGCTACACATTCCAAAAAAGGTGGGACAG